ATAACGTATACAAGGTTGGACCCAATACTGAACCTTGAGGCACTCCAAAGTCTGGCTTAAACATTGACGAAAGAGAGTCGTGCACAACCACAGATTGTGTACGGCCAATCAGGTAGGACCTGAACCAGTCAAGAACCCTGCCAGACAGGCCAAACGTGTTGAACAATCGTTCAATAAGAATAGTGTGATCTACAGTGTCAAAGGCAGCACTAAGATCAAGAAGAGAAAGAATTGATATTTTGTTCTCATCCGCCTCACACAAGAGGTCGTTATATATTTTCAATAGCGCAGTTTCTGTGTTATGAAATTGCCGATGGGCAGATTGATATAATTCATATAAATTGTTTTCTTTTAAATGATTCTTCAATTGAACCAAAACAACTTTCTCCAAGATTTTTGATAAAAAAGGAAGGTTGGAGACAGGTCTGAAATTCTTGAGCTCCTCAGGGGAAAGATTTGTTTTTTTTAGAAGGGGAATAACTAAAACATGCTTAAAGAGTGATGGTACTACTCCAGACTGAAGAGACTCATTAATGATAGAAGTTATAAATCCAATGACACTATCAAGATGTGTGATGAGCAGTGGTGTTGGAATGGGATCAAGACTACATGTTTTATGGGGTGATGACATTATGATTGATCTTACATCTTCTTGTGTTACTCATACAAATTCATTAAAGATTACCCCAGAAAATGTTTCAAAAAATGGTAGTTTATGGGTAGTGGTGTCAATTTTTTTCCTGATCGTGGATATCTTGTCTCTGAAGGTCACTATTAGGTACATTCGTGGGAAACTTGTTGCTGGCCGGATCTTTCTTACCAGACAACTGATTTTTTACACAAAATAAAGCTTTAGAGGTGGTAAATTCATTAATTTTTCCGTTATAATACATAAATTTGGCAGACGTTATTAACGATTTCACAAGGTTGTTACAGTGTCTATAAATGTCCTCATGAATTTTCAGCTTTGTTGATCTCCAGCGTCTTTCAGCTCGTCTACGTTCCATTTTAGATTGTTTAATTTCCAAAGTCATCCACAGGGCAGAAGGTCGATCAGTCATTGTTCTGGATTTGACCGATGTATGTTTGTTTAGTAGTTCACACATCTTGGTGTTGAAAATGTCTACCTTCTCGGAGGTTGAACCGTGTATGAATTTTAGAAGCTGGCGAATGTCCGCTCCAAACATTTCATTATCAATGTTCATTTTCCGGGTTGTAATTTTGCGGTGTCTCAGTTTGGGCTTCCCTATACGAGTTATTTCAAAGGACACCACGTAGTGATTAAAAATGCATTTGTTCTTTACTTGAATTTCACTGATTTTATTGACACTGTCCGTAATAACCCAATCTAATGTGTGTTTTTTAATGTGAGTGGGGACATCAATGTGTTGATAGAGACCACGAGTCTCTAGAATAGATTTGATAGATTTAACATTAGTGTCTAAGGTATCTTCAAAATGTAAATTAAAGTCTCCTAAAATTATAGGCTGTGTCCTCTTGGTGGTATGCAGGTCTAGTAAATCCTGGAATTCAGTAATGAAATCTTTAATTTTCAGTTTATTTTTCCTACTTGGAGGTGGTCGATAGACACAAACAAAAATGCCGGGACACGCTTTGAAATGTAGACTGATCTCATAACATTCGAACGTTTTAAAGGAGGGCATTTTCTGTGGAGTGATGTTTAGAGATCCATTATAAATTACGCATATCCCTCCCCCACGACCATTTCTTGGGACGGAGATGGACTTGTATCCCGGTGGAGTTAGGCCGGCTATTATGATTTCATCTCCGACGTTCCGCAACCATGACTCCGTAAAAAATGCGATATCGGAGTTAGACTCAAGTATTGAATCATTGAGTAAAACGGTCTTTTTTTAGGTTGACTGTGTGTTCAGTAGAATAATTTTAAGATTACTTGACAATTCAGTTACGGTGTTTTTTGTGTCAACGGCAATTAAGTTCATTGGAGTAATGACGCTTCGAGGTTCATTTAAACTAACACACCTATTCCCTGTGACAACAATGATTCGTCTTTGTTTTCTTCTACCTCCTCGTTTCCCCCTCTTGTATTTCTTAACTTTGCTGGCTGAGTCTTTAGATCTTTCAAGGCCAAGCTGAGACAAGCAAACGGCCGTTTCATATGAAATATCATGTGTCTTTTTGTTTACAGACACTAACTGGTCTCTAGTGTAGAACACACACCGGACTCACAACTTGACAGTGTTCACTTCCATTATTCAGGAAAATGTTGGTATGGCTATTAACATTATAAACGGGATTGGGTTGGGTGGTGAACACGGCTTTCCACACAATACTGTAAATGTTGAAAATGGCCAAAGCCAAGGATAGAACTTCCATAACGAAACATATTTCTTGCAAATGGTTGGTAATTTGCAATCAAGCACTAATAAAAATAACACAAAAAGCACAAATGTTTCTTATTTATCCTGTAAGCCAACTTGAAAAGCCACAATCCATTCACAAGATACGAAAAAGACACAAACATTACAGAGCAGGAAAAACGCAGCCTGTCAGGCGCGGACTATCCTACCCTATCTACTGCTGCTGTTGTTGTTGATGTTGTTGTTGTTCTTCTTCTTCTT